GCTAAAAACATAGGCAGTAAGCAGGGAGTGGAAGGGAGGAGTGTGGCAAGAATTTTACCAGAAATATGTCATTAATGACCGTGGCATAGGCTATTTAACCGAACGTTCCAGCATGAAGGGATGCATATCACCCGCCTCCTTTAGTGTGAGTGAGAAACAAACAGGTCAGACCTCCAGGTGAGCTTTGTGCAGTTTCATGATGATCTGCGACAAACAACATCTGTAAAATTCACTGAAGTAAACATGTTTTATCTGTTAATGTTAATAAAACATGCTGGAGATGATGCTAACAAATATCAGCTCAGCCTCTGATATACTATATGTTTTCTTTGTTCTGTCGGCTGCAGCAGCCAGTTTAGCTCCAAAAGTTAAGGTTTAATAAAGTCTGTTCAGTGATTTATGAGAGATTTTGTTAAAAGAGCAGACAACTAAACACAGACACAGATGAAAACATTTTAATCTGTGTTTTTGGTTTGTTGGACGTGTAAAACTTCATCTTTTCTCTACATTTTTATCTGTTTTATTGATTATTATACGAGTTTACAGGTAAAGTCAGARCAGGGTGAGCACATAAAGGAACAGTTACAAGCAGTCTGTGTCATGAAATCATAATTGGTTTGGTGTAAATTGAAAATTAATGTCTGTTTTTGTCCATAAAAGCACTTCTCCTGTGGGATTGTTGCTGAAACTTTGATTACTCTCTCTGCAGCATGAAAACATAAACAGAGACATCATTTATTTTTAGTTTGAACTGTTGAGAAACACTTTTTCTAGGTTTAATCCTAAACTGTGCTCTGAGTTTTGACTTTCAGCTGTAGTGTGTGAAGAAAAGCCTTCCTTAAGGAGGGTTCACACCAGGGGACAATCACAGCAGTGMAAATGTGCCACCTGGCACCAATTACAGGCTGAATTAAAGCAATTACAGYCTTTTGCTGTGGAACGGCAAAGCTTGTGTTAATGTGGTCCAAACTGCTGAAAGATGAATACAGTAATCAGGATTTATTGGTTAATTCTGGAGCGTGGGCAAATGTCACACAGCACAGCAGATCTGCTGAAGCACTGCAGTTACAGTGGTGGTCTGCAGCTGCAGAGTGAGCCCTGCTGCTGAAACGCCACCACACTTTAGACTTCCTGGTTCTACGCTAGGCTGCCCCCCTCCTCAGCTGATTTTATTCTGTTTCCTCACAGGCTCCATCGGCTCTGAGCTGACCAGCAGTAACGTGAGCGTGTTCATCACCTCGGATGCAGGGAACGCGTGGAGACAGGTGACGGCTCTTTACTGCTGCAGGTTTGAGATGTAACCTGGACTGGGGCTCTAGTCACTGGAGCTGCAACATTAAATAACAGAACTTCTGTTGTGAATTTAGTTTTTTATATGAAATATTTATATGTTTTGTTTTTACCAGTCATYATTCCATATGTGGCAGGACTTTCAGAGAAACTGAGACGTTTATTCTCTAAACATGACGTCCCAGTGGCTTTCAAACCCCAAAACACGTTGCGACAAAGCTTAGTTCACCCCAAAGATCCAGTTCCCTGGCAAAAACAGAGTAATTTAGTGTATGCTGTTAAGTGTCAGGAKGACTGTGATCAGTTATACATTGGGAAACAAAACAGCCACTGTGCAACAAAATGAGCCAGCACAGACGAGCTACCTCGTCGGGTCAGGACTCTGCAGCTGACACTCATCTACAGGTCAGGACTCTGCCATTTACACTCATCTACAGGCCAGGACTTTGCAGTTTACACTCATCTACAGGCCAGGACTCT